ACCCACACCCACACACACACACACGCACACACACACACACACACACAGGTACAAACTACATGCATATTCTAACATGAAAAACTCCCAGCAGAGCAAACACAGATCTGTTCATTAGCAGAATTTGTTTACTTAAAATAAAAGGTTTGTGTGTGTGTGTGTTTGTGTGTATGTTCGTGTGTGTGCATGTGTGTGTGCGTGTCGGTGTGTGTGTGTGTGTGTGTGTGTGTGTGTGTGTGTGTGTGTGTGTGTTGGTGTTGTGTGTGTGTGTGTGTGTGTGTGTGGTGTGTGTGTCTGTGTGTGTGTGTGTGTGTGTGTGTGTGTGTGTGCATGTGAGACAGAAGGAAAATCAATAAGAGAGAATGTCTCAGATGTGTTGGACCTCAGTTTGTATTCAACGATGCATTAAATGACGGTTTTGATACGTTTTAAATCTAAAATTTAAAAAATTACAAACAGCTGATTACATTTTTCTTCCAGTGGGTGAAGAGGGGGCCGAAGTGTTTATCCAGCTGTTATTGGGCGAGAGTATTGGTCGAAAAACTGTTTCATTGCTTCATTGCTATAAAACATATGGCAATAGTCAATACTCTGCAAAAACACAAAATCTTACCAAGTAATTTTGGTTTATTTCTAGTGGAAATATTTTAGTTCACTTAAAAAAAGAAAACTAACTAACTAAATGGAAGTTACACTGCCAGAATATTTGAAAATGAAATGAAAGAAATGTCATGTCACAATAAGTGAAATAATCTACCAGCACATTTTCATCAATACGAAAGGAATTATTTAGTTAAAAATTAAACAACTAATCCATAGTTAGTAAAATTTGTGTTTTTTGCAGTGTATACCGATCTGTATTAGCAAAAACTGAGTGCGTCTTATTTTATTTACATTTAAATTGTATCAATTTTCTTCAAATGGCTTCATTGCGACTTCATTTGTTATGGTCAGATTTTGTTTTTTATCTTTAGTTTCACTTCCTCAGTTTTAAACTTTAGCTTTAGACCTAAACAAGGCAAGATAGTCCAAAGACATTTGGACTATAATCTGCACAATACCTGGTAAGAGTTTGCTGTGTGTGTTTTGTTCTGACATTTACTGAAAACACACCAAGTTTGGTCAGAAAGTCAAACGTGTGCATTCCAGTCACGTTTAACTAGAACGCCGCCGTAGTTTTATTTCTGACCTGTTTTTCTTGGAGAGCTGACAGCCGACGACGCAGGCTGGTGCAGCGATGCAGACTTGTTTCCTCACAACAGAAGCTGAAAAACCCAGAAATCTCCAAGTTGTGTATTTTACACCGACAATCAAATCAATCTAAAAGTTGATATTCTGACACTTCTTGCTGACACGTGAATGAACATGTCGTTTAGGAAGCACCTTTTCCTCAACCTAGAAAATTACATAATGTTCACATTTCAGGGTAAACAAGTTATTAATGTAAACTCACAGTTGTGCAAAAATAGCCTTTCCTCACACACACACACCAAAAGCAGCCTACGCAGTCAGAAAACAACAGAAAAACACACATCTCCACCCACACAATAAAGTTATATAGGCCACACAGACACAGCACACCTTCATGGTTTCTATTAAATCCCTTCCCACAGGAAATTCTGCATTTCATGTGGCTCCTCATCAACACTCCTCTGTTTCTGTGTCTTTTGTTTCCCTTCCTCCTGCTGTCCTCCTTTTCAGGTCGTCTCCATCATTGGTTATTGATCTGTCCAGGGGGAGGACATTTCTACCGCTCCCCTCCCTTTATTTATAGATACAGTTCAGATCTCAGGGAGCGAAACATGCATTGTTTGTTTGGGAAGTTTTCATACAGTGTGGTTCTGTTCATGGCTGCTGAAGGTGAATGTCGGTGGGAAACGCGCTGATGGTCACTGATCCACTTAACACTGGAAAATAAAGCTGAGCTCATTTGATTTATTGATCATCTCATTTTCATTTAAAATTTGCATTTAAAACAAACTGTTTCTCACTTAGTGCAAAAAAATATTTGCTTCTAGATATGCAAATATGAAGATATGCATTGTTTTGCCTTTTGCTGCCTGTATTAAACAGTAATTGAACAGAAAAGAGTGTGGAGAGACAACATGAAGACATGCAGCTAATAATGGTCTGATACTGGGAATCCAACCCAGTAAACATAGAAACTGGACAGTTTGCAGTTATTTGACTGGTTGTGTAACTATTCGACTGGGCAGGGGAGTTTTAAAACACACTGCAGTATATTTTTTAAGGGTTTGGGTGCATTTGTGCGATCCTCTGTTCTCCTCCGTCCTCCCCTGGGTGCTCATTATGGAAGAGGGTTTTTGATCTATTCTTTCATTTCAGTTTGAACCTGAAGCAACCCGCTCTCTGCGGAGCGCTCAGTCGACACGGCCAGTTAAAGCTGCTGCCATTACACACACAAACAAACACTATTTCTCAGTGCAAGCTGCCATTATGCAAAGGAGCTGCGTCCGCATCCCTGCACCTTTTCTATCAGCCAGAATCTGCAACAAGCTCGATCTGCAGCACCGCATGGATTTCTCCCTCTGCTGATCTGGGACAGCTAATCAGCCAAAAACAATCAGCTGAAACTCGCTGCCCTGGTATAATTAACAACTTTAATTAGCTTCTATTTAAAGAGGTTTATTTTGCTTAAACATACAAGAGAAGCATTTAGTTTCAAGAGCAAATAACTCAGGGCTTCAGCGATGAAAAATATACTTTCAGCTCAGATTAGAGACACTAGAGGGAAAGCAGGACACATTATTTAACAGTTTACAGCAAAAGCTGATGTGAGAGAATGTTAGACATCCAGAATGTTAAGCAGAAACTGATTTATAATAAATTATAACCATTAAAGCTTCTCATTTCATTGTTTTGTGACACGTTTTCCAGCTTCGTCACACGAGCTGCAGCAGCCACAGACAATAGATAAATCATGCTAATGACTTCACTGCTCTGTAACTGCAACATGCATGTTTATATAAATATTCACATAAAATATAAATCACACAGTTGGGTTTTTTCAGTCCCACTAAATCTGTACAAGAAGCGATTTTTAGGAATGAAAAGTGAACAAAAGGAAGTTTCTTAATCACCATCCAGTGATTTTCAGGCTAAAAGCTTTTCATGAAATGGCAAAACAAATTTCATCCAATGACATTATTGCATCAGGAAATGAGGGACAGATTCAGAAAAGCTTTTTTGGACAGTATATGTGTTCAAATTAGAGATTGTGCAGCCAATTCAGCAAGAAATCTCATATCTCACTGAACTGCTGAGAACAGTTAATGGAAAATCCACTTATATTTATGTGTATTTAAATAAATTACAGGCAAGCAAAATGCTTCATTTTCTAAAAGGCCAGCAAAAATCTAGATAAATGTCAACTGTGTCCTGAGAATAAAGATTTAGTCCTTTCAACATGTGATGCATTAATATTAGTAATAAATAATCTGTTGATCTGTCTCAAAACCATCCGTAAAACACTGGCGTTGCTGCTTTTGTTGCTGTGGTCCATTAAAAACATAATCATTACGACGCATTTATAACTCAAAATGTGTCTTAAAGTCATATTTAGCGCAGTCAGCTGACGCTCACATCAAAGCAGATGCATTTTTCATCCATGGGACACACAGCTGGATGACTCTTTGACATGTTATTTTCTTCTAATTTGCTTAATGAGCAGTTTGCTCTCATGCCTCATTCAGGGTTTTGTGGGACACAGAATGCTAATTAAGACTGATAAGCCGCCCTGAAAGCTGCAGCACAGGCTGAACTCTGCTGGAGCCTCACAAAGTACGCGATAAGCTAAAGCCTTGTTTCTTTGTCTGGGTGGGGGGCTGACACCTCCACCCATCTGCTCTGTGTTGCTCCATCACAGCAGCACAACCAGACAGACAGAGAGACGGGTAATTACATCCTCAACTGAGAGCCATGTGCTTTACTGAGTTAATACGACTCAGTGATTTTTAATGAACGTGTTCGTACTTCATGTTCTGTCTTTTATATTAAAATCCACTAAAGTACATTTGTCATTATAGGCTGCTTATGTGATTGTTATGCTTGTGAAATTAGAGCCAATGCTGACGCTTCCTGTTGCTGCTGCTTCTATCAGTCTAATAAGGAATATATTCAGCTTATGACGGTAGAATAGAGGAATACAATTCCAGCAAAAAATATCAGAAAATTCCTTCAAAAAACAATTCTGAGTTCAAATTGTCTAAAATAAAAAATAAATTAAAAAAACATGGCAATTTCAGAGTTTTAAATTACAGAAATTTTCTAGAAAAACACTTGGACATATCTGAGATCAATGTGTCAAAGACTTGCTAGAAAAAACTTAAGTTTTGAGATTAATCTGAGAAACTTTCAAGAAAAAACTAGAGTACAGAAGTCAAAAATGTTCAACTTTTGAAACTCAGAAATCTCCTTTTTTTATGTCCTTGTTTTTTATAGAAAGTTTCTGCGATAAAGTTTTGTACTGGAAATTTACTCTTCTATTTTAATAACATGCCATTATAATGTTCTCTACCACTTATTAATTGATATCCTGATTGTCTGTAGAATAGTCAAATGCAGAATAAATACCTGTTAAATGTAGTGGCAGTTTCAAGTGTTAATTGTATGGAAAATTGGACCTTTTTGCTGTTCTAGTCCAGCAAGCAAATATTATTTAATCTTCTCATTTTGACCCTCTATATACTAACATAACATTAAAAATATTTCTGGAGTGCAGTTCAGAAGCAAACAATGAACACACTGCAAAAACACAAAATCTTACCAAGTATTTTTGTCCAGTTTCTGGTGCAAATATCTTCCTCCGACTCATAAGATGGAAAAATGTTTTATTATGGGTGAAATAATCTGCCAGCATAACTGATTTAAAACAAGCTCCTTTATCTTGCTGAAAAGTTACTTGCAGTTATCTTAAGATATTTGCTAAATCTAACCTGTGTCTCCTCTTCTAAATAATTTGTCTCTGTTTATCTTTTCTTCAGGTAAAATGTTGCTGCATTGGAGCGTTCTGATCGGCCTGCTGTGCCTGGGCCAGGCCGGCGGCGCCTGGGCTTTGGCCCGCCTGCTGGACAACGCAGAGCTGCGCTCGGCCTTCTCCGTGTCGCGCACCAGCAGCATGGAAGGTGGACCTAAAATGACCGTGACCTTTGACACTGTTTACGTCAACATCGGCGGAGACTTTGATGCCAAGGCGGGATTGTTTCGCTGCCGCATCCCCGGGGCGTACTACTTCTCCTTCACGGTGGGGAAGTTCCCCCACAAAGACCTGTCTGTGATGCTGATGAAGAACAGGAACGAGGTGCAGGCCATCGTCTACGAGGAGAACGCCGGGGAGGAGAGGAAGGTAGGCTGGAAAAACGGCTCACTTTCAGGTTACAGAAACTGTATTGAAGCCCCCAAAACTTCTCACATTTTCAATTTAACTTTAGCAATCCAAACTGAGCTCCAGCATGTTTGGTCAGCTGATTTTACCAAAGTACAAAATGTACAATGGCTGCTGGAAAAGACAAGTATTATGTTGCTGACTTACCATCCAGAAACCATTTGTTACATTTTTGTTGGCTGAGCTGGAGGCTCCACTAATGCTTTTGAAAGATGTACTTTTGCACATCTTTGCCATTTTCATGTGTGAGTGTAAACGATGAGTTGGGGGACGTGACCAGCAGCAGCTGATTTTGGTTCAAAGGGACAAGATGCTTTCAAACAACTCATTCTGAAGGGAGATAAATGTAAGCAGAACTGAGCAGAATAAAATCCTATTGAGGATGATTTTGTGCAGAACAACAAAATTTAATAAATATGTTTTTTATCGGCCATAAACTTATCCTGATCTGTTGAAGGAAGCATAAGGAGAAGTATCATGTAAAATTTACTTATTTTTAGCTTTACATGATGTTAAAATGTTATTCCCTCATAAAAAAACAGAGTGTGGCCTTGAGAGTGCTTGAGAAATCCTTTCATCTCCATATCAACCATTCAGCTGTGTAAAGTGCCTGGGTGGACCTAGCCCCGCCTTCGAGGTACAGCTCCTCCCCCACTCAACTCCTTCAGACTAGTCAGCAGCAATTAGCAAACACCTGGAGGAACAGTAAATCAGCTGAGCGCATTAGAGGAGCTACTTCTCAGTTAAACTGGCAGAAACATTAAAGGGTTAATAGAGGAGAAATGCTGTGATGACTTCCTGAAGGCAGAAGAGCAGGAGCTTCTTATGGAGACAGAAGCCCAATTTCAAGGTGTTAAATATTAAAGTCCAATTTCTTTTAAGTCATATTTCATACATAGAGCATTTTATTAACAACTGAAGGTAAAATAATTGCTTGATTGTGGTATAAAGTGCCACTATGTGGATGGAAAATTCATCCTGCCCCTTTATGGTTTCCTCCATGGTGTCAGCGCTCAGTTAAATCCTTCTGTGTTTATGTTTACGGGGAACAGATGAGTCACAGAAGCTCGTCCCTCTGTGATGGGATCATGTTTCTGGATTTCCTCCCCAGCTGTGATAACACCATCTGCTGAAATCCTCAGGTTCAGAGCCAGAGCGTGATGCTGCAGCTGGAGTTTGGGGACACCGTCTGGCTGCGTCTACATGGCGACCCCCGCTACGCGCTCTACAGCAACACCGGGCACTACACCACCTTCAACGGCTACCTGATCTACCCTGACACCTACAGCTACCAGACCCACCACCACCAGCAGCAGCACCAGCTCACCTACAACCCTCAGCAGGACACAGAGGACGCCAAGTCCAGGCCAGGACACGCAGAGGAGGAGGAGGATGAGGAGGATGGCCAGGAGTATGAGGACGAAGAGGATGATGGGAGATCCGCCTTCTCCGTAGGCCGCACCCAAAGCATCCTGGGAATCGACCAGGTGGGAGTACCGCAGCATCGGCCGATCGGCTTTGACACGGCTTTCGTCAACATCGGCGAGGACTTCAACGTGACGGAGGGCGTGTTCACCTGCCGCGTGGCGGGGGCGTACTACTTCTCCTTCAACGTGGGCAAGCTGCCCATGAAGACGCTGTCTGTGAAGCTGATGAAGAACCGCCTGGAGGTCCAGGCGATGATCTACGACGACAGCCAGGGCGAGAAGGCCCTGCAGAGCCAGAGCCTGATGCTGGCGCTGAAATCAGGCGACATCGTCTGGCTCTACTCCCACCAGAGGGACGGATTCGGAGCCTACAGCAACCACGCCAAGTACATCACCTTCACCGGGTTCCTGGTTTACCCCGACATCAGCCCCAGCTCCCCCACTGCCACCACCAGCCAATCAGAAGCAGCCAAGAAGCCCTAACTCCAGCTGGGTAGAAAAGACTGAGCATCCTGGGTGGGATCCATGTTCACGTCACGAAAACACAACGTCTTACCAAGAGGTTTTGCTCTTATTACACTGGAGATAAGGCAGAACTAACTTACATGTAGCCTTTCAGCAAAATTGGTTGTTTGTTTTCCGTAATATGTGTCATAATTCCCTGCAGGTGGAATCCCCAAAATTTAAATGGAGCCATTTTATGTACTTCTTTGCTCTACATCCATCAAATTTTGGAATCACAGTTTTAAATAGACAACATGCTGAGGCCATAGAAGGTGTTCTGTTGTCTGCAGTCTGCATTTCTAACTGTTTATATTGTAATTGTCTCTTTAGGCAGCTGATACTATGTAGTATACACACTTGAGCTCATAAAATATGTCCTCTAAGGAACAGCAAAAACATATTCTGTTCTAATATTGATGAAAAACTTATGGTCCTGATGGCAGATTATTTCATTTCAAACAAGACATTTAATCCATCAGTTGTTTTTTTTTGGGAATATTTATGAATTATTTACCAACAACTGGCTCCTACATCTTGTTGAAAAATTACCTGCCAATTAATTTTGCCTTAATTCAATTGTACTAAGATATTTGCTGTAGAAACTGGGCAAAGCTACTTGGTAAGATTTTGTGTTTTTGCAGTGAAATAATTCCTTCTGAAAGTCAAAGGAGTTTTGGACTCAGAACCTCAGAGAAAATCTATTTAGTTTATAGCTAATGGCTTCCCATGTCAGGAGTGAATCTCACTTCAGTGTGAATATTTCGCTCTATAATGAAAGTTCCACAACGTGTTTGATTTTGCACAAAGGTTGCAAAAGTAAGAAAATCAGAGTTAGCCCCGCTTCAAATAACCTGCTAGCATAATTTCACCGAGCTCAAGAAAAAGTGTTAGCATTGGTGGTGGGCACCACTAGCTAAAATGTTAGCTGTGCTAACCCTAAGGAGCTAGTCATAAGCCTTCTGCTATTGGTGAAGTGCTATCAACACGGTATTTAGAGGGAGCTAATGCTAAAGCGCTATCGTCAGTTCATATTGGAAAGACTGCAACGCTAAAGCACCAATTAAATTCGACATTATAATATACTTATTCTATAATTATATGTTTCAACTCATGTTGAACTTTATTTAAACTTTCCAAACAGCCAAGTAAATTATCCCTTTAGAATCTATATGGACAAATGAATTTAGGGAAAGTGTGCTCAATGTTCTTATTTAGCGCACTTTCTGCACAACTGCTAAATGAAACATTAGCTGTTAGCAGTTTAGCATAAGGATGCCCACCACTGGTTAGCACAAATACCACCTATTTTCACTTTACTAGATAATTAATTCTGGTGAAATTAGTCAGGTCTAATTAAATACAAGCTGAAGCCAATCTGGGTGCGGTTTTCTATAACGGATCAATAATAACTATCAACAAAATCATAAATGAAGCTTTGAAATTCCAAGTAAATTTAAGTGATTCTAAAATGATAATCTGATATGCTTAAATGTTACAGACTATCCACGACCATACAATAAAATATAAAGTAGAGTTTATTTTAGAAGCTTCTAATGTGGACTTAATGCAAAAACTTCATCTAAGCTAATTGAATTAAGGCTGATTGACAAGTTTGGTTGAGTTATGAGTGAAAAGTCTGATCAAAATGCTGTAAAATGAAAGCATTTCTCTCCAAGGATCTATTTCTCTCCTGTGAAATAGATTTACCAAAGAGTTGGACATTCATAAATGCCCATTTGATCTGATCATTTCTGCAAAGTAATTCGAAGCGATTTAACCTTCAGTGGCTTTTGATGAAGACGGAATTTTCAGAATTTTCATTATCTACTGAAATATTTCTTGAAGCTTCCTGTGAAACTTTTGGTGTTTCTGCTCATAAGTAAGACGTCTCTTTACTCGTTTTGTCATGAACCGCATGTAAACTACTGTGAACCGTGTTGGGTTTTTGTGTCAAAATGAGTGTTTTCTTTCCAATATTTGGGAGCTCGGTGTTGTCTCTCGGTGGCAGCAGGAGCGAAGGATTCCAGGACAGAACTGACACAGATTTGGAAGAGGAGCACGACTCCGTATCCACACAACTGTTGACCACATGCCTCCTGCGAGCCTGCGGGGATCTGGGACGTAATTTAGTTTCTAATTCTAGCAGCATTTATTTCACGTCTTCAGACAGAGCCCACTGTGGGGAAAATTGAATTGCTTCTCCCAGGCTTCATTGATGTGCATATCTAATTTCACACCACTGGGAATAAAATTATACAGTTCAAACTGTCATGAACCCTTCCCTTATCAAACACCCTGTCCTCTGGAGGACCGCGGGGGTTCAACTTTAGTTTTGTTCAGTGTTTAGATGTTTTTATGACATTGGTTGAAAATTTATGAGAAGCAAAGCTCCGATTTTACTCCAGTCAGTTTTTGGCAAAAGAAAAATGAGTCAGGAATCAGCAGCGGGGAAACGTGTTGGGAGAGCGTTCCACAGATCTGCAGGAAACTATTTGAAAATGTATGCTCTATATGCAAATCTCACCCAGTTTTAAATGAAACACCATTTCCAAATCAGGCTGGAAAAAAGTGCTTGCTGTGATTCCTGTTAGAAACCGTAAAGGCAGGAAAACTTTAGCAAAACTCATTTCCTCTGCATGTGTCTGACTGAGGGAGTGGAGTAAACATGAAAACATGTTTATGTCTGAAGATAAGCCTGAAAATATGAATTTTCCAGTCTCACTAATTGCTGATTTCCAAAGCTTTAAGGCAGCAGCGACTTTTAGGAAACAAACTTATGATTATTTTTCTCTCCCAGTTTCTCCTTTAGTCTCAGATGAAAATCTCTCTCCATCTCAGCCTCAGTGTGAGAGCGGCCCAGGTTGATTCAGCCGGCCCGACGCAGCTCAGGAAATCATATTTGTTCTGTCCACAACCCTCCAGAACCCGTCCAGAACCATCCAAACTCACCAGAACCCGTCCAGAACCATCCAAACTCACCAGAACCCATCCAGAACCTGTCCAAAATCATCCACAACCCTCCAGAACCCGTCCAGAACCATCCAAACTCACCAGAGCCCGTCCAGAACCCTCCAGAACTTATCTAGAACTTCCAGAACCCCTGCCGTGTGCGGCGCTCAGATTCTTGTGTTATGCATGCATGTAACTGAAAACAAAACATCTGAGGAGAAATGTTTCCCATGATGGCATGTCCAGCTTCAGACGCCTGCTGTGTTGTTATGTGAACCGTTCCTGTTTCTGATGCTTTCGGTCAAAAATAGTGTATTTAAAATATATGTATATATATTTAATATTCAGATATGAGTCAAAACGTGGTTCAGTTCCCATTTCTACAGTTTTCCAAACAGTTTTGTCGTGCCAGAAAAACCCCTGGATGATATTTTGACCCTTGCTGTCTTCTGTAGTCCAACTATTTGAGATGCTAAACAGATTTTTACATGTGAAGTGAATGGAAAAAAAAAAAGACGTTCGTTGAAATAAACGAAACAGGACAAACATCTTGGAGTGTCCAGGTTTTATTCTGCAGCGCCACCTGGTGTTTGTGTGATTTTCCTGAATGCTTTTAAATCCAACAGTAAATAAGTAGCAATATTTTATTTTTAGTTTCTCACATTATGATAACAATAAAAGGAACAAAAACTGTAGAGCGTCCAGTGGAAAGTTGAAGACAAATATAGAAAAATAGGTCAAATACTGCTAAAATAAAAGTTATTTTGCTAAATTACTTTTTAATCTGGAAACAGCTGATGGCAGGATACGATTCAATCTGCTGATTTCCTTTTGAGAACTTTATGAATTTAAACCTGATTCAGGTTTAAGGGAGTGAATATCACTCACTTTATATTACATATTTTTGTTTGTGTTAAAAAGTTTTATGGATCACAAAAACAAATTGATTTATTTGTAAAAGCAATTATAAAAGTGAAACATCTGATGGTGAAAATAGAAAATTTCGGTTTAGAAAATTCACAGTAAATTCAAACACATGGATCAGATTTTTGTGATTATTAAAAGTTGTGAAAATGATCATAATTATTTCTAATATACAAAATAAAAATTTTCACATTTGTGAAAATTAAAGGATGTAAACTTCTGACCAAACACAAATTAAAGATCCACTGCTGAGTTTCACCAAAGAGAATAAAGAAAAACTTTTCTACTAAACCATTTTTATAAGCTGGAGATAAAAAGAACAAACTTTTTCATCACTAGAGGAGCTCTGGATCAAAAAGAACTCAAAGCACCATAAAACAGGTTCAGCATGGTTTTATTAGGAGCTTTTATTTACATAAATATTCCAGATGGTTTTGTCGAACAGAAAACCGATGAATCTCAAGCGAACAGAGGAGACATCACTTCTTCTCTGGGGGCGGGGCCTCCAGTTTGGGCGGGGCCTCTTTGGGCTCCCGGTAAGCCGGGAACACCTCCCACGGCGTGTTCAGGTCGAACTTCCTGAACTCCTGCGTCAGCTCCACGGGCTCCGCCACCACCCGCTTCAGCTCGTCGTCGTAGCGCACCTGTGGAGCGAAATGGAAAAATGACTGAAAATCATCTCATTTTACAGAGCATGTGGTGTTTATGAAGGAAACGATTTGAAAAACTTGGAGAAAAATATCATTTGAAAGACCAAATCCGTCCAACCATTGAGCCTTTCTTAATCCAACGCATTAATAATCTATACTGATTATTTAACACAGATTATTAATAATCTATACAGATTATTTAACACAGATTATTAATAATCTATACTGATTATTTAACACAGATTATTAATAAATCTATATACTGATTATTTAACAGAAGCAAAAAGTGAAGAAAATAATAGAAGTCATATCTGGGGTTTAAAAACCAACAACAAAAAATAACTATAAAAGAAAATCTAAATTCATAATAGACAACACAATAAAATCCTCGACTTTCTGCAGCGACCAGTTGGTTGGATTAAGTTTTTGCTTTCGTGTTGCTGGAGGTCAATGATGCTAACAGAACCACAGACATGCAGAAAAAAATAAACATTTAAACATCTGGAAATCAGCTTCATCAGAACACGACCAGGATGTTTTCTCTCCTGATCGCCCTGTAAACTCGGTTCTATTGGGAACCAAAGTTACAACATTTGCTACATTTTCAGCAAAGCCAAAACCTGTTCCCCTCCTCGCCTGTGGGGGCGCTGCATCAAGCACCACTGAAGGAAATGACACTAAAACCTCTGAAGCAGCCCAACTTCCTTCTTCAAGAAATGTAAACAAAAACGGAGTAGCGTCAGACGTTAGCAGTGGTAGGATTTTTAAAAGACTAAGAGTCATTTCTCCTGCTAACGCTTGGCTTTCCCATTTGTTTTGGTTGTATTTACCCAGAAATCCTGGTGTTATAGTCCACTTCCTGCTTTTGGAGTGGTCTCCGATCCACATTCCGTTCACAAATGGTTCCCTTCAGTTGAACCCAGACCGAAGTTTGTAGGTGGTCCAGAGTTCACAGTTTAGATGCGATTTTGCATTCAAACTTCCCCAAACCAACCGGACTCGGGAGTCCTTAGCGTTTGCTTGGCTCTCTTGTTTTTGTTGTTGTAAACAACACTTTATCTATTATGTCAAAAATATTGTTGAAATGAACGAAGTGGTGATGGCAGAACTGACCTCTACATATCCAGACAGAGGGAAGTCCTTCCTGAATGGGTGACCCTCGAAGCCGTAGTCGGTCAGGATGCGCCTGAGGTCGGGGTGGTTGGCGAAGAACACGCCGTACATGTCCCACACCTGTTTCCACACACAGACCCAGTCAGTGCTGCCGACCCGCCTCCGAGCTCCAGCGTTAGCGAAGCTGCGGCGACTCACCTCCCTCTCGTACCAGTTGGCGGCATTGTAGACAGAAACGGACGAGTCCACTGGCGTCAGCTCGTCCGTGTACGTCTTCACTCGAATACGGGAGTTGTAGCGCAGAGACAGGAGGTTGTACACGAGCTGTAAAAAGTGTAATTCAGTCAAACAAACCCAGTGATGTCCAGTCTTGTCAGGGTCTCCAACTAACAGGAATGTGAATCATTTAATCTCTGCCTAACGACGCTCCAGAACTGAAATGGTCAAACACACTAGTTTAAATAAACCATGAAAGTTCATTGACTCCTGGTTTTCTCACTATCATGTAGTCTGTAAATAAACCTTCAATAACTAAAAAACTGAATCTCTCCACAGATTTTCAATAAATATAAACTGGTATAATTTCTTTTTACCTAAAAAAAACAGGAAAACCAAATTCTTCTGAAATCATATTTGTTTCTGTCATTTTTCAGCTCCATAAAGAATCATTCATACTGGATTTTCAACAAAAACCAAATCACATGTTCAGTGTCATATTGTTAAATTTTGCAGAAATCAACATCAAATGACAGAAAACTTGCATATTTATTTATAAAAAGGCATCAGTGAAACCTACTGTAGGTTTAAAACTTTAACAATTTAAGAGCCGTGACACATAAAAAATCTTATTAAAATAAAGCAGCAGCCAGTTTTGTCTCTTCTTCTTCGTTGGTTGTTCTGTTTGGCAGCGGATGATCATTCAGTCATCTCTCTCTTCCCCAGCAGCTCCACAGCCAACATTTATTCAACACTTTCTTTGCTCAAGTCCAAATCATCTCCAATTAAAGCTTCATTCACTGCAAGCCTTAAATATATATATATTTTTGTTTACTGTGATTGTTCACATTTCCAAATAGATGCAACTTGTATGTGATCTCCAGTGTGACACTTAAAAGTGTCCTGCATGCGCACTAGAGGGCGCAATAACGTCGCACAGACAGCGTGCTCAGAGACAAAGCATAGAAATCAACATGAATGTCAAATTTATTTCATTTTCATCTGTAGTCCCTCAGCAGGTTGATGGAAGGGATAAAAATACAATTAACATGCATAACATCATATGATTTATGACAGGTTTAACTCTTTATGTGCACTTCCTGCTGAGCCAAGCGGCATCATCCATCCTTCAGGACCCTCACTGCTCCTCTCATCGCTCTTTTTCTCACACACCAAGCCTTTCCTGCTGTAATGTTTTTCATTTCATTCAGATTAAGTAAAGTTAATCTCAGTGGTGTGAAGTGTGTGAGGGCGAGCGGTACCTCGAAGCGGTTCTGCCGTGACGGGACGTCCACAGCGGTGAGGTCAATCATGTTCCTGAACTGAGCGTTGGTGTGGTCTTTGAGGAAGGTCAGCACCGGGACGACCCCGTCTGGATGGATCATCACCTCCAGCTCGTTGTAACACGTCACCTGAAAAAGGTGGGAAAAAAAACAAGAAAAACATTTTAATTTGTTATTTTTGTAAAACAATTTAAAACCTGCAGCGTTCTGAGTCAATCTGTGGCCCATAAATCACAAATCCAGGTGGCTGACGAAGGAAGCAGCTCTGTGATGACGCTGCACTGACCTGGACCTGCTGGACGTATTTTGGCATCATTTCAGCCACGAATTCTCCAAACGCCGCCAGCTGGTTGTGGGTGACCGCATCCTTAGGCCTGACTGTTGCTGCTCACACACAGAGGAGAAAAACTTTTGGTTAAGTTACAAAAAAACATTTGTGCTGACTTATTGTTAGCTGAATCTTTACATCTTTTTGTTTCAATCGAGAGACATCTAAGCTGGACTCAATCAGTTTTTGAAACCTGAGTGTTTTATTCATCCAAGCAGAATCACTGAACTGAGGCTGATGACAGCAGCAAACAGATGCAGAGGTGAGAATAAATCTGCTGGAAAGTTATGGATCTACTAGGCCTGTCATGATAACAGATTTTGCTGGCCGATTAATTGTCTCAAAAGATGATTGCGATAAACGATAATATTGTTTGAAGACCTTTTCACAGTGATTTAATGGAAATTACGTAATAATACATGCAATTTCCTGCCAAAGATAGATACAGTTTACTTTCAAAAGAACACTGAACACTGGAACTGCTACACAAAATAAATAAAACCAAAAATAAAATAGATTCTTAGTCTCCATTGACAATAAATGTACTTGAATAAAAACAAACAACATAAAGCCAAAGTGGAAATAAATACTGCATTCAACCAAAAGAGTGCAGATTATGAAGTCTGTATATTATATTGGCCTTCATTAGATTTAAATGGAGAAGAATCCGACTGCCTGATGCAAAAGTTCACTCTACAGGATTTTTTTACCCTGAACGACAATCTTAGAACGTTCTTCGTTCTGAGATTGTCCCTAGTGTGTTACTGTAGATCGTTGCGTGTTACTGTAGATCTTTGTGTGTTGCTGTAGATCTTTGTGTGTTACTGTAGATCGTTGTGTGTTACTGTAGATCGTTGTGTGTTACTGTAGATCGTTGCGTGTTACTGTAGACTGTTGTGTGTTACTGTAGATCGTTGTGTGTTACTGTAGATCGTTGTGTTACTGTAGATCGTTGCGTGTCACTGTAGATCTTTGTGTGTTGCTGTAGATCTTTGTGTTTTACTGTAGATCGTTGTGTGTTGCTGTAGATCGTTGT